TAAGAGGCTTGCAAGACACCTTCCCAGCACTTGGAGCAACCCAAAACAATCATTTTGGAAATCAATAAATAAAATCAATACTTACTGGTGCAACAGAATTTCGAGTCTCAAGACAACTTTTTTGTTAATCAGATGTCCAAAAGTTCATGTCATTATTCAGAAGCTGATCCGATGGGTCTGTTCATGAGCATTGAACCATGCGAGGACTTTCCATTTGGTGGCTATTTGAGATGCACTCCACCGATACCATTTATCTACAATTTGATGTGAGTTGAAATAACGGCTTTTGTGATCAATAAAAGTAATTCCATAGTAAAAATGTCACTTTATGATCTTTCAGTCTGTTGGACTCCGGTGATCGTGAACTAGCGATGGTGCCGATCAAGAAGCATTGGATGCATCCAAATTTGGAACGAATCGAAATCGAGGAGGACGGCTTCTGCGGTACTCTATTCAAGCCTCCTGGTGGGTATATGAAATAAATACCTATTTGATCTCCTGTGTTCAAATGAGAGATTTTTATGGGAATTTCATAAACTGACAAATATTAGTCGACTGCGTCCTGCACGTTCGTACATTACGGTACTAATTTGACAAAGCCTGAGGGTCACTTGGTAGATATCCCTAAGCGAGCCCTAAATGTGCAAAAAACGCTGTGCGGCTTGTTCTAACTCGCCATCTCGATCTGTCTTCCTGTCTCTTTATGTGATTCCTGTAGCTCTCCAGCCCATAGACCATTGGGACAAGAAGGATTTTTCTTCGGATGGTTACCGTAACCATTTGAAATAATATGAAAACAATACGACAGAATGCAGCCTAGGAGCTAGGGACTAAGTGATTTCTGCGCATCACCTTACCTTGTCCTACGGTTGGATGGATGGGTGAGTGTTCCGCATTTCCTCTGCACCCATGCTGTTTCATACGTGATATTGCAGTAGTTGTTTAGGGGTAGATACAACGAAAAACCTAGGACATCACTAAACCAGAAGAAAACAAATTTCTGCTGATTTTTTTTGAAATATCTATAAGATTTTGTACCCTTGGTTTATTCCGAACATTTTCTATTAATTGTTCAGGAGATGGACCTTTCCCGGCGGTTATCGATATCTCTGGAACAGGTGGAGGTCTCCATGAGCACAAGGTAAGCAACCTTTCAGCAGTCAATTCTCTCGAGCCTTTTCCACTATGTAGGAGCAGAAGGTAGCGATTACAGGGATCAATGCTGGCGTCGGAAGGTTTTGTTGTGCTGTGTGTAGCGTTCTTCCAATACAAAAATCTCGTCGAAACACTTTCAGAAGTGGACCTGGAATATTTTGAGGTAAATTCAGCCATTATTTATTGTGCGAGCGTAAAATATTCAGCCACTTGTTTGTATGGAACGTCACTAAAGTTCTAGCTTTCCAAAACTGTTGGGGCGCGCTAATTGTGAGCGCAGAGTTGGAATTTTAGCCAGCTTATGAAAAAATCACTAACCTGGGATAGCTATACTATCATTAGTTTCCTACGCCATTTTTAATGACAAATTTTCATACTACCATATTTGTAAGTCGTAAGAACGATTAATGATCGTATTCCGTGCTTAAGAGGCCTATCAACTGGATAAAGCGGCAACCATTCACCACAGATCGCCTCGGTATTCAAGGCGTCTCCTTTGGTGCCACTATTGTTCTTCTGCTAGCGACACGATTTCCACAGGTTAGTTCTAACAATCCAGAGTCGCGAGGATATTTTGAGATTTCGGAAACTTTAATTTGTGCGGAAAAAAATCGCGCCCTCATTTGCGGTCCGTGTTTAACGTCCTATATTACGGATTCATCTCAGTGCCATTGATAAGAGCAAAAGTAGAATAGTCCCACGCTGAAGACATACCTAAGTAAACTACGTAAAGCGATAGTTTAGAGTGATGGAAGAAAAAGCGTCATTCATTAGGTGGTTCAGAGAAACCATTGAAACGGTGCGATGAGAAAACAATTTCTTAGAAGAAGAACAGAAGAGAGTATTTGGAGTTGGAGTCTTTTGTGGGACGATAGGAGTCTGAAGTAAGATTCAATTTCAAGGGAGTTTTTACGACACGGACGACGGGACGTCAAAAGGAGAACTTACCTTGTGAAGAAAAAGGCGGACCTTCTAAGAATGCGGCCGACACGCAATTCGCGTCGAAGGATATGCCCTAGCAATCTAGCATGGCCTTCCCGCGGCAGAATTGGCGCGCTGTTGGCCCGGCGCTCCCCCCTATCGCGTCCCCTCGTGTCTGGTCTCTACGCTTAGACAGCGTTTGCCGTTGAAGAGCGGCCAGCACCGATCGAGTGGCATCAGCGGCAATAAATGGCAAAGGAAAAGATCCCGAATCCTGGATCTCTGGACAATTTTTTGCCCGAAGCTTCTTCTTCTTTTCCTGCACCACTGACCATCTCTAACTTAAGTCAGCCCGCCGTTGCTATTTCTGCGTGAAAGCTCCTTGGATGGCCGTCGAACATAAGTAGGAAAAAAGCTGAATCCAGGACAATGGAGGACGTGTTGATAAACTAGGTGGAAATGCTTCAAATAATTAGTTTCCATTCGAAATCTTGGGTAATCTGTACAGGCCTCTAAGTATGAGAGTGTGAGGTAGCGTGTCTGGATGCCGTGCTAACGCTTTTATCAAAGCAATTCATTGCACAATTTTGACTTTAAAATAGTGAGAAACTATTCAGCTAGACGCCGTCGTTGCTATAAATGGTCCTCATGTGTTGAGCGACTATGCGAATATCAAGGAAAATGGCAAGCTAATTCCTCAAGGACAGTGAGTTTTTCGTTTATGAAGGCTTTTCAAATCATGTAAATAATTTTGAGAGCTTCGGGTTGCAAGCAGAAAACCTTTCGTGTTCAATTTACTCCACGGTGATCACTGGTCTCTTCCCTTACCACTTTTCCCCTTCTTCATGAACATATGCTTGCCAATTCCCATCCTTCTGAGGTGCCGTCGATGACTTTTGTATTGACCTAAGGAATCCACTCTACTTGAACTGAGATATATACTTTGTTTCCGAAAACCAGGTGCTTGTCGAGTGCAGACCACACACAAGTGACGACGGCCTCCACAAAATGTAAATGTTTTCTGCCAATGAAATGATTAGCCTGTTGCAGTTGTATTCTATCAGTTGTCACTAATTACAACTATCATTATCAGCTATCACTATGAACCACTACTAACCAGATTTACTTGGAGGCCGTCGTCACTTGTGGTGTGTGGTCTGCACTCGACGAGCATCTGGTTCTCGGGCTATTTCAAATTAAGCCGGGTGTAAGCTGACGACAAAAGTATGAAAGGATAAGCCTCCGGCGTTGTTCAGTGGTTTTGGGATGCGTCACGCGTTCTACTTCCATTTGCAATCGTGATTTGCCTGGGCGAGATGTGACCCGAGATTTTTCCTGGACCGTGCTACCTTCCACTACACTGCCTCCGCCTAGACACTTAGTTGCTTTGATCACTTGTAGTTTGTTGTCTTCTCAACAAAGGCCTAGAGTGAAGTCCCCTCC